GGTTACTGCCCCTTTACCATGTTACTGCCCTCTTACCATGGTTACTGTTCTCTCTGACCATGGTACTGTACCTCTACCATGATTCCCTGCCTCTCTAACCATGGTCCACTGCATATCTCTTACATGTTTACTGCCCCTCTCTTCTTACCATGGTTACTGGTCCCTCTTACCATGTTACTGCGCCTCTCTTACAAAACTATTACTGCCTCTCTCTTACCATGGTTTACGCTCTCACTTACCATGGTTACTACCTCCCTCTACCAGGTTACTGCGTCTTCTCCTTACCATGTTACTGAGCCTCCCTCATACCATGGTTACTTACTGCATTCTCTACCATGTTTACTTTCCTCTCTCTTACCATGGTTACTAACCTCTCTCTACCATGGCTACTGCATCTCTCTTACCATGTTTACTGCCTCTCTCTACCATGGTTACTGCCTCTCTCTTACCATGGTTACTGCCTCTCTCTTACGATGATTACTGCCTTCTCTTTTTACCATGGTTACTGCCCCTCTTACCATGGTTACTGCCTCTCTCTTACCATGGTTACTGCCTCTCTCTTACCATGGTTACTGCCTCTCTCTTACCATGGTTACTGCCTCTCTCTTACCATGGGTTAACTGCCTCTCTCTTAACCATGGTTACTGCATTCTCTTCTAACCAAGGTTACTGGTTCCCCCTCTTACCATGGTTACTGTCCCTCTTACCATGGTTACTGCCTCTCTCTTACCATGGTTACTGCCTCTCTCTTACCATGGTTACTGCCCCTCTTACCATGGTTACTGTCCCTCTTACCATGGTTACTGCCTCTCTCTTACCATGGTTTACGTGCCCTCTTACCAATTGGTTTACTGCCTCTCTCTTACCATGGTTACTGTTCCCTCTACATGGTTACTGTCCCTCTTACCATGGTTACTGTCTCTGCCTTTACCATGGTTACTGCCACCTCTACCATGGTTACTGCCTCTCTCTTACCATGGTTACTGTCCCTCTTACCATGGTTACTGTCCTTCTTACCATGGTTACTGCCTCTCTCTTACAGGTTACAGTCCCTCTTACCATTTTAGCTGCCTCTCTCTTCCCAGGTTACTGGCCCACTCTCTTACCATGGTACTGCCTCTCCCTTACGATGGTTACTGCCCCTCTGCTTACATGGTTACTGTCCCCCTTACCAAGGGTTTTACTGACCATCTTACCATGGTTACTTGTCCTCTCTCTTACCATGGTTACTGTCCCTCTTACCATGGTTACTGCCTCTCTCTTACCATGGTTACTGCCTCTCTCTTACCATGGTTACTGCCTCTCTCTTACCATGGTTACTGTCCCTCTTACCATGGTTACTGTCCCTCTTTACCATGGTTACTGCCTCTCTCTACCATGGTTACTGCCTCCTCTTACCATGGTTTACTGTCCCTCTTACCATGGTTCTGCCTCTCTCTTACAATGTTACTGTCCCACTACCAGGTTATCTGAGCCTCTACCAATGGTTTACATGCCTCTCTCTTACCATGGTTACTGTCCCTCTTTACCATGGTTACTGCCTCTCTCTTACCATGGTTAACTGTCCCGCCTTACCATGGTTTACTGCCTCTCTCTAACCCATGTTACTGTCCTCTACCATGGTTACTGCCCTCTCTTACCATGTTACTGTCCCGTCAGTACCATGTTACTAGACCCTCTTTAACCATGGTTACTGCCTCTCTCTTACCATTGTTACGTGGCCTCTCTCTTTACCATTTTTACTGTCCCTCTACCAGGTTACTGTCACCTTTACCATTGGTTACTGCCTCTCTATCTTACATGGTTACTGTCCCTCTTTACCAGGTTACTGCCTCTCTCTTACCATGGTTACTGTCCCTCTTACCATGGTTACTGTCCCTCTTACCATGGTTACTGCCTCTCTCTTACCATGGTTACTGTCCCTCTTACCATGGTTACTGTCCCTCTTACCAGGTGTACTGTCTCTTAAACCGAATGGTTAACTGTGCCTCTCTTGTACCATGGTTTACTGCCCTCTTACCATGGTTACGCCCCTCTTACCATGGTACTCTGCCTCTCTCTCTTAACCATGTTACTGTCCCTCTGTACATTGTTACTGTCCCTCTTACCATGGTTACTGTCCTCTTACATGGTTACTGTCCCTTTTAACCATGGTTACTGCCTCTCTCCTTTACCATGGTTACTGTCCCCCTTACCATGGTTACGCCCTCTTAACCATGGATTACTGTCCCTATACCATGGTTTACTGCTCTCTCTTACCATTGTTAACTGTCCCCTTTTACCATGGGACTGCCTCCTCTCTACCATGTTACTGTCCCCTTTTACCATGGTTACTGCCTCTCTCTTACCATGGTTACTGTCCCTCTACATGGTTACAGTCCCTCTTACCAATGGATACTGTCTCCTCTTACCAGGTTACTGCCTCTCTTACCAAAATTACTGCATCCTTTCTCCTCCCTGCAACAACCACAGCATCATCCTAAATTCTTGCAAGAATCAA